TTCAATGAAATATGATTATGAAAAATTTAAAAAGAAAAAAAATAAGAATAATTAAAAATTATTATAAATGTTGATTGAACCCATAAATAAAAATACAATTGGAGTATTATATTTTTATCTACTTAATTGAAACATTATTTATAATATAAAATAATGAAAAATTAATTTACAATGAAAAATTCTTTTTGAAAATAATTAAAAAATACGGGTTGAAAAAGGTTACTTTTGTGGGTTTTATTTCAAAATATAAATTAATAATTTTTATATTAATCTATATTTAATTGATCATGTTAACTTGTAACTCAAGTTAGAAGTTGGAACGGGTAAAATTATTATAATAAATAGTTAATGCACAAGATTTTTTATTGATATATTATTTGTTTAGATATTATTATTTTTTATTAGTTTAGAAAATATTTTTTATGGTTTTTTATTTTTTTCTAATTTATTCAGGGTTTTTATTATTTCTTCTTTATTGTTAAGTTTTCTAGTGTGTGTAGATTGATTTTTTTTTAACTTATTTAAGAAGTTGTTAACCTCTAATAAAAGCAAACTACATTAGGGTTATTTATTCAATAATAAAAATGAAAATTAGGATTCTGTTTGACTTTAATTATGTCTTTTTAGTTTATTATTTTAGCGTGTTATTTTAGTCTATATAAGTTGATATCAAAGCCTAATAATTCTTGGTGGTTTTGGTTAGAGTACATAAAAAATATGTTTCAGAGCTTAAAAGTTCATGAAGATTAGTTAATATGTGTTATTGAATAACTATAGTTGAAAGAGGTTGCAAAATAATGCGTACTTGTATATAAAAAGTAAGGAGGTTCCTTAGAAAAACAAAGACATTCAATTACTAGTGTGTTGTGTCCTATTTGCATCATTTATTTATATTATAAATATTAGTAGTGTGATCTATAATGAAATAACCCATATAAAGATGTTGTGTGAAGGACCTATGATGAGATGACCTGCATAAAAATGTTATGTTAAGTACTCATGATAGGGTGACTCATACATAAAGAATGTTTAGGAAGGATGGTTGCTAACTCAGGTCTGGATTCAAAGAAAAGTTTCTTCCAACCATAAAAGACTAATACAGGAATTTATTTTAGGAAAAAACATATTTTTTTGAATTAATTTTATTTTTTTATTTTTTATTTTTCTATCTAGTATCATTAGGCATTTCTAGTTTTACAATTTGAATGGATTAATTTTTCTATTTCTATTTCCCTACTCAATATTAATGAGGTTTTTTAGTTTTTTTATATAAAAGGTTGGAATAGCTTCTGACAAGTGAAAACTTGAATGGATAAAAATCAAATATTTTGGATGTCTCCCTATAATTATGTTTTTATTTGTCTTTTAAGGGTTTTGACTCATGACAAACCTTATTTTCATTCATTTTTGTCTATGCTAGTTAGTATCGGAGCTTTGCATCAGTTGGTATCAAAGCTCAACGATCCTTGTGATTATTTGGATATTATGTGCTTGAATAACCATGGCTAGAAGAGACAACAAAACATGATGTGCTTATGTACGAGGTTTACCCTCGAGAAAAAGATGTTTAAAAACTAATGATAAAAAATGTGCAAAGAAATATTGATGAACTAAAAATAGGTGTTCAAGAACTAGTGATAGAAGATATGTAGAGACAAATTGCAAAATTAACTCGTAAGTTGGAAAAGGTAAGGAGCCTTAGAATCATGAGAAGCGTAATCACAAATTCATGGTTAATTTTGAAAACTCATTTAAAAAGAATATGAGTAGAGGAAGCAATTTCTTGATAAGATAAATATAATGTTGAAATTAAAACTTTTGATAATTTTAGTTCATTTATAAATTGGATCAACCACCAAGAGAGGACCATTATTGCCAAACACTAAAGTCAAAAGAAGATCACATTAATGCCTAATTAAGGTCAGCTTCTTAGTAATGTTTTACTTCGAATTCTCAATAAGTCAAACTATTTGTTTGCATTGGAATTCTGTTGCAAAACAACTTAAACTCTACACCAAGTTCCATGGAATTCCTTGTCTTTTGATTCCTCTTCGAGATAAAGAAGGTAATGCAAATAGCAAAACTAGTACCAGTATGTATATAAAATCAAACTGTCATTCAATATTGAAGAAGGACAAATTTATAATACCAAGTATGTTGCGTCAAAGGAGATTTGCAATCAGAGTTTTGGTGTTGGATCATCTCATAGATATTTAATCTCCATCAACTATAAAAGAAACACCCTTTTTGTTTTCAACTCTTTAACCAACAAATAAATAGATTTCCTGTAAAGGGATGATATGGATAATGAAGTTGAATACATTATTGATTTTGCTCTTAAAGCTGCCTTAACTTCAAGATTTTATAAGGGGTGGACGTGTTCAAGACAGCTGAGATAGCACTTTATTCAAAAGGCTATTTTGTCATGCGACCCATGTCATAATAAGAGCTATCGAATGGTACTATCTTATTGGTGTAATTTGTAAATGAATAAAGAAAAGATGTGTATCCCACATTGAAAAGAAACACTTTCTCCTAATGTTTTTAAGTATGGGTTTTTATTGTGTAATAAATTAAGCTATGATGGATAAACTCTTCTATTTAGCTTCCTAATGTTATTATATGGATATTTATAATATCAAAAGATAGCATTTAAAACTTGAAACTTAATATAAATAGTTATACTATTCCATGAATAGTTATATTGTTTGATAAACAATTATATTATTTTATCAATAATCATATTGTTTGATGAACAGTTGTTTCAAGTCTATAAAAACATGTTACTATACAAAAAAAAATAAAAAATATATTTTTTTTTCTTAGTCTTATCTTCTCATTTTTTTAAAGGTTTAAAGGGCTTAATTGTATCCTGATTAGTACTTAAAAGTGCATTTTTATCATGGTTTTATATCATCATTTTGCACTTCAAGTATCAATAACTCCTTAACTAAAATATATTTTATAAGAATGTATCTAATAATATAAGATACCTATAATTTATGGTAAATGTCTATTTTTAATGCAGGCCTATCACATAAATGAAAGGATTGATTGATGACTTGAAGAACTTAAATTGCAAGGATAAAGAGATGGCCAAACTTAGAAAAGAGATGTCGGTGCAATCCAAACCGGAACACTGTTCGGTAAATGGGTCATATCTGGAGCTATATATCTCAGATTTAGGTCAAATTTATATGGATGGAAAGGTAAGACATAGGCCTACAACTTTCATATGGAGCCCAAGATCTAAAAAGGCCATTATCAAGTCCAAATTGTAGCAACAACAAAGAAGCCCGAATCTGTCTTCCAGCCCGAGCACTGTTCGGTATTTTGGCCATATCTGGAGTTCTAGAAGTCCAAATGAGCTGAAATTTTTACACAAGAAAGCTGAGACAATTGCCTACAACTTTCATGTTTGCAACTGGCTCCAATTTTGACGTTATCAATGACGTTTTGGGCAGACAAAAGAAGATAAGGATTGTCACCAAGTCAAAAGTTGGTCACCCACTTATCAATTAGTCATCAAATCAATAGTTCCCATTTTTGGCCTATAAAAGGAGGCATTTGCCATGCATTTAGGCATCTTGGTGTTCAGATCAAGATCATGCTCTTCCTTTCTCTCTTTGTATTTTTTATGCTTTGTTTTCATTAATATTAAGTTTATGCCTTTCATTTCCTTTCCTTTACTTAGTTAACTTTTATGTTCTTATTTTGTTTATCTATTTTGCTTTCTTTCATTATGTCTAGCTAAGTTAATTATGTCAAGGTGAAAAGGTTAC